TTTAAAAAACACCAAAAAATAACAAAAATAAAAACTTTATAGCCGTCGTAATGAAGCAGGAAATCCGAAAGGGGGAAAACTAAGAGCCTTCCCATAATGCATCTGACACAGGACGCGTGCATTAGTTATTCCTCTACAGACTAAACACATCATTCATGATCTCGTAAAACAAAGCAGTCATCTTTAAAAAAGAAAGGGAAAACGAGTAAAAGAAGATCAAGATGGAAGAGCTTTCCTCTAGTCATAAACTTAAAAGCGAAAGATAAGGTTGAAAACACCAGCCTTGAAAATTACTCTCTCAAAGCATGACGTACGAAAGTTTATAAATTTTATTTATCAGCAAAATAGCGTCTTTTAGTTCCTTGGTATAAGGTTTTAGTCATTTTTTTTTATTATTTCTTCAGGAATATATTTATTTACACTGTGCGTCTATAATGATGTTTCCATCTCTTAAAACTGTCTGAAGTGAGAGTTAACGATTTTTTAGTGTATCTTGGAACGAACAACATTATAAATTAAATGACCATTAAAATAAAATGGAAGACCATTAAAAAAAGTTAAAATTGAATTAAAAAAGAATTTAATTAAAGGAAGACTGTTATAAATTAAATTACAGTATTCCCAAGAAATACGTTACAGAATATGTTTACAGTTAATGAACGTGCCAAACCAAATTTATTTCACATACTAAGAAAAAAAATTAGCATTTGTCAAGCAAATTTTTTCTAACGTTTTCCTCCTGCTCATTTCCTTTAAAATTATATTTTAAAATATTTTAGAATCATTTCACCCCAAGCAAGAAAATAAAGCCACTAAAACATAATGGGTTACTGAGTGATTAGAGAATAAAAAACGCTATTAAGGAGAGTGAACAATAAATGAACAAGAAGACAGAAGATAACGACTGATATGGCATTTTTTTCGAAAGATGACTAAAAAACAAGAAGCCTAGAGAGTCTTACACAGGCTACAAGTGCGGTTATATCTAGCCATTTCAAAGAAATTTAAAAAAAAATAAATAAAACCTAAAATCAAGAAACTAAAAGACACTATTTTGCTGATAAACAAAACTTATAAACTTTCGTACGTCATCATTTGTCTATATTTCTGAAATGAGGTATTATGTACACTATTTACATTATTCGGACTATTGTCCTCATCTTTGTCGCCATGTTTATCACAACGTTGCGGCCGTTGTACGCTCCGGCCTTCTTCAGATGGTTGGAATGTCAAACTGAACCCTTTATTTCGCTCACTAGGGTATACTGTTCTAGTTCCACGTGCCATGTCTGATGAATGTCAGTTATTTCCTGTTAATTCACCTCTGAAATTGCAATATGAGCACTGGTGAAAAATGGTTGCTGAAGACATTAGGTTTATAATACCCAGAAATTCATACCCAGATGTCCTCAAGGACACATGGCACAGTGGATAAAGGCGTTGGTTAGATCCATTGACAGTATCACAAAGAATGTGAGTTCAATACCTGGTTAAGTCAGTGGAGAAATTTCACAGGGGAATTAACAAGAGATATCTGACATACATTAGACGTGGAACTAGAAAAGTATACCCCAGTGAGTGAAATGTTCAGTTTGATTCCAACCACCTGAAGAAGCGATAAACATGACGACAAAGATGAGGACAATAGTCGGAATAATGTAGTGTTTCGTACGTCATGCTTTAAGATAGTATAATGATGTATAACGTCTAAATGAGAAACTGTATTTAGAATTAGAAAGAGACCGTTTCATAAAGACTTTATGAGCGCATAAAGAGGAAAGAGGATTTGGAGAATTTGTCACTCACAGGACATATTCAAGGCAAGAGAGGCCAAGAGGAAACATTTTGTAACCTACCTAACGAGCTTGGTTCAATGAATAGCATCACAGAAGTGGACAAACATTGCTTATATCTGCCAAGAATAGGAAGAGGTGGAGAATCGTGATCTTATATGCCCTGAAGAGCATAAAAGAAGCATAATGGTTCATTTTTAACAGTCGCGAATTTACTCTTAGACACAAGAATCTATTTGCCTGGGAAGACACTATATTGAAACCCACACACACATCTAGATGCATGGGGAGGACATTACATCGAACACACAGGAATCTAGATATACAGAGTGTGAGTGCTATTTGATGGCATTTTTAGTATGTTAAATAAACAGCAATCTCTTAGCAAACAGTGTATATATTTAATTCAAACACAAATATCCTTCATGATACTTCATGATATTTAATCATTCTATGAAACCACCTTTAGCTTCAAAGACTGCTTCTATTCGGACTCGAAACCGTCTACAAGCTGCAATTAAGTGGCCCCTATTCATTTTGGACATCACCTGGACAATGGCGGCCTTCAGTGCAGCTATGGTACTATGAGGATGTCGATTAGTCTACCTTTCAACGACGCTCCACACGTAATAGTCCATAGGATTTAAATCTAGCGTGTTAGGGGGCCACGTGTTGGTGGTCATATGGTCGTAAGAATTCTCTGATAACCAATCCTGGGTTACAATGGCTTTGTGAGAAGGTGCAGAGTCTTGTTGAAAGACATGACCTTCCTTTGAATACTTTAGTTATCCAGAGCGTAACAACCGTTTTAAGAACATTAATGTATCAATCAGCATTGACCCTAATACCTTGTGGGGAAAGTATAAGGTGACATGACATGACCTTCACTGCTCCCAACTCCTACAACCATCACAGTAGCCAGATATTTGGTGTGCATTACCCTGAGTACTTCAGAAGGAGATGCACACAGTCACCTGTAATTCCGTCTGTTTGTTTTCTGATGTTGGTTTAATTTTTTTTTTCGCCAGAGAAAAACCAAAGTATTCCATGTTTGTGAGGATTTTTCACTTTGTGCAGCAACCATTTTGAATGCATGAGACGGTTTTCTTGTGTCTTCGCCAATATGAATTGGCTTTTCCTCATTACATATGACTTATATTGAATATCCTGATGTACCACGGTTCTGAGAGTCCACTCTGATACCTGGACTTCTTTGGCGATGGACCTCATTGATCTTCCGGGGTTCTCATCGATGATGTTTTGAACATTCCGTATAAATTCTGGTGTTCTAACGGTATCAGAGCGCTGTGAATGCTTTTTTTTTTTTTTTTTGTTACAGGGGAAACATTGCCATCACATCCCTCTAGCTCCAACCGAAACTTATGAACAAATAATCTGGCAACATGTAAAAAGTTACTGATTTTTAAATCACTATGTTTTGCAGCTAAAGCAACAATGACTGCATGTCTTTTCATTTCTTGGGTTAACATCTTCCTCTGACTGGGTTATCTGAAATAAAAAATATTATAAATGATTTGAGTGTGTAGTGAACTTAAAACAATATGTCCTCAAATAGCACTCGCACCCTGTATATAGATAATAATCTTCATTTTCATAAGTGTATTAAGAGATCGATAAGTACAGACGTGCGTCAGCACAATGAGGAGAATTTTAGGTTGAGCTCACCTTACTTTTAACCCATAGAATTTCTGGCAATAGTCATAAGTAGTGTGTGACAATATCATCAAGGACTCTGAATCGAGGGTTTTCAATCGGAGTTTCCTTTTCTTATGCCAATGGTCTCCTGTCCCTCAAGAATACAAACCTCAAACCTCAGGAGCTAGGGATTGTCACTGATTCTCTCAGCTATGTTCAAGAAGACTCAGTATACATCGAAATAGGAAGGTTTAAGAATTAGGCTAACTTCAATCTCACGCAGAAAATCCGAGAACATTCTTGAAAATTTACACCATAATTTTAGCATTTTACTCACATCCCCTCAGAACAAAAGTGTTTAGACAACAGAAATATGATTCTACAGAACAGGTGAATAACGACGAAGTTTTAATGCAAGTGAAAACAAAAACAAAATTAGGATCAGAAGGAGACAATTGAAATATCCAGCATACATAATGAGGACAGAGAACGTGGAGAATTTGATACTCACAGGGTGTATTGAAGTATGGAGTTACAAAGGAAAACAGCAAATAACATACCTACATAAAAGCACGAGTAAATTAATGGTAGAAACAGAACGAGGAGGCTTTGTAAAGAGACAAACGTTGCTAAGAGCTATAAAGGAACATGAACATAGAAGAAGAAAGAAAAAGAAAAATACGGCCAGCACCTTATGGCCGTGTTCATAATTGATGTTATAAAAGGTTTTATGCGCGTTTCCGTTAGTTTTCAACGCATTTTACAGTTGACAATTAAGAATATGTTTACATTTTAGCAACTTCCACCCTATCTACAATAACACTTGTACACCATTCATTCAGCAATGTTGAGCTTGGTCAGTAGATAGATGGGTGACCGCTTGGGAATACCATACTGTAAGCGTCGATGTGCGTATAGTCTTTTTAAACGGAGAGCCGGGTTCCAATTCTAGTGGGGTTCCTTAAATTCCTTTACGCGCGAATACTCTCGGGAAATGGATGGATCTTCTTCTTAATTTAGAGTTAATTAGTAAGACTTGTATCAGGAAATCATTATTATCTACATGAAAAACTTCTTCGAATCTGTTGTGGCCTGTTTAGGGTCCAGAAATAAAGACACAGAAGACGAAGGTAGGTTGAAAAAGTATATTGAAGATATATACAAAACAATAGTATTAGTAATAAGTAGATTAGCACTGCGTCTACTCCACTTCACTTCACACTCTGCCCTCCCGTCCGACTCTTGCAGTTTGTAGTTATGAGAGAAGGAAGAGATCATTATACTGTAAGAGGGTTTACCACAACAGAATCTAAAAATATTTTCTGGCTTTAAATAACATGCAAAGGTTTGATAAGAATTAGAAAACGAGTCAATCTAATCAAATTATGCTAGTGTAACTAAAATCCTTTAAAATGGCAAATAGTTTATCCGAAAGCGCTCGGAATTAGCCACCTTTTGGACAATCTATTTAGATAGATAGATAGATAATGAACATGTTTAGATAGATAGATAGATAATGAACATGTTTAGATAGATAGATAGATAATGAACATGTTTAGATAGATAGATAGATAGATAGATAGATAGATAGATAGATAATGAACATGTTTAGATAGATTGATAAGGAACATGTTTAGATAGATAGATAATGAACATGTTTAGATAGATAGAAAGATAAGGAACATGTTTAGATAGAAAGATAATGAACATGTTTAGATAGATAGATTGATAGATAATAAACAAGTTTAGATAGATCGATATTGAACAGACTGGGGTAGGTAGATAGATACTGATCAGACTAAGATAGATAGATAGATAGATATTGAGCAGACTAAGATAATTTCATTTATTTAATTCAGTCTCATACGGTATACGAAAAAAAAACGTTGACATTAAATCCAATGTGAAGATTATATAGTCGTTATTATTCTTAACTGCTACGTTACTTTGAAGAAAACTATCTTATTGAATGATCAAGTTATCTTTTACAGAACCAATTCGGAAGGAAACACTTGTACACATTCTGTAGAAACACTCTTAGATTCTCATTCTGCAAAAAAGAAAAATCGACAGAGCAAACTGGCGTCGCTCGTCCATAAAATGCTACTGACACATTTTATGATAAATCGGGCGAAGTTTTATGAGGTCGTCGCATGTAAGGAGAAACTCTGATTCGTCTGTTTAAAAATAAATAAATAAAAAAAAAACGAAAAGAGCACAATTTTATTTATTTTATTCGCTATAAGATTTACTATCCGGATATTTATCCACCACTGGAGTGCCTGCTCTTCTGCCTATAAACACTAAAAAATACCTGAAAAACCAACTAAATAGAAGTGAAAAAAGATAACATTTCGCTACGCTCTAACAAAAAGAAAAGGAATAAAAGTAAATATTTATACAATTTCTTCGTGTATGATGCATGATGGGTAAATTTTATCTTCTTTTCATGAACTGTATACTTAACTTTCCATGCAAGATTTTTTTAAAAACTTTTAGATGTTAAAGGTAAATTAAAACAGATTTTATATTTGATGGGCATAAAAATAGCAATACAACTTTTCATTCTTGTATTTTCTTCCAATATTCTATCGGAATATAAAATGGTTAAGCTATTATCAGCGAAATATTAAATGTCACTTTAATATATATATATATATGTGTGTGTGTGTGTGGTTAAGAGACAAGGATAGAAAAAAGTATTAACAAGAACAACAAATAAAATTAAATGCTCAATTTATCAACCACTTTTCGGAGTTTCACAGATATCACATCTAGTCCTCATTCTCCTAACGAATGGATAGCTAAATCGCGAAATTTCCTGTTATTAATGCTCTATCTCTGGATATTGAGCACTGTAATTACAAAAACTATTTGACTTAAATGCGTTATCTTCCAGAAATTAACTATATATATATATATATATATATATATATAAACAAAAAATATATGTGAAAAGGCCGGAAAAATCACCGTGCATAAAAACTTACTGTGCTCAGAAAAACGAACATGCAGAACAAGTTAATACAATAAAAAGGTAAAATACTATATCCTACCGTACTACCTTGGTTTTCGACCGTGAAGTCTCGTCAGTTGGCTAGGTACCTTGCCTCCTGACGAGACTTCACGTTTGAAAACTAAGGTAGTGGGATAAAATATAATGTTTTACCTTTCTTATATTAATATATATGTGTGTGTGGAGCCCCGATACATATATATATATATATATATATATATATATATATATATATATATATATATATATATATATATATGTTATTATGGGACCTTACCCATAATAATATAATGGACTATTCCATACGTAATAAATACTGCGCCTCAAGAGGAAGCAGAGAGTTCCGTCAGGAGTCTGTCAGTCAGTCAGAGCGAGCGAGTCAGTCAGTCGAGTCAGAGGCAGTCCGAAACAGAGTCGCGTTCAGACAATTACTAATTAATTTTTAGATTCATCCGAAGCCTACATCTCTTTTTATAAATATGATCAATTCTTGTTCGCTAACTAGTCTTTCACGAGGATATTTGTTCAATTATTGGTTACACAGACTAAACTGAAATTTTCACACACAATTAATTACAAGTCAAGTATACAATATTACGAAAATTATGTTTAATTCCGCTAAATTGTTTACATGCGGTGAGAGTAGAAAATTAGTTCCTGCGTTTATTTCATATGGTTTTCAAATGGAATTTATACACGCAGCCCGGTGTCACATATATCCGCACACATGTAGACACATTTTCCGTTTGTCCTATACTAACACAATTCATTCAGTCGCACTGTAAAAAAAATATACAAAACATTTTTTGTGATATTGTTCGCAAAGAATTTATTTCAATTTGAAAGAAAAATAATACTCAAATAAATAAAAATCATTGAAATTTGTAGATACTTATTTGAAGATTAACATAATTCATCGTTTATACACGCATATTCCGTTACACACATGCATATATATATGCGTGTGTATAGCGGAATATATATATATATATATATATATATATATATCCACGTATATGATTGGTGTATACTGAATAAATTCAAATAACCAACAATTATTATTCTTAAAAGAATGCTCAATACAGAGTAGAGCTAATATAATTATTTTAAGATTATAACATAAATATGCTATAAAATCACTACAAAAACTACACATATTTATGTTATAATTTTTAAATAAATAATATATATATATATATGATAAGACAATGAACAAATAGGAATCATATATCAATCTAACATGTTACACATTTTTAAAGCTTTGTCAGAGATAGGGAGAAAACAGACAAAATACAGACGCTTTGGTACTTTCAATTAAAGGTGAAGACATTAGAATTCTCCCACTAGACAGACAAACATACACAATTACGAATACAAATTACCATCTGATGCCCTCTTGGACATACAAGAATCTTCAAAAATGTACATACAGAGAAAATTATCTATGATTTTAATGTCCGTGATACATGACTGACCAATGAGAATTGACCCAAACAAAATTGAAAATTCCAGAGGTTCTGTCTTTTTGTATGTTTTCTCTCATTCCCTGACAATGCTTTAATAAAAGGAAAACATGTTAGATTGTTCTTAATCTTATCACCACTTTAGATTCCGATTCCTATTTGCATAAGAATCGGAATAGACAAACACACACATTCTATGATCACTGACTTGATAACCTGGCTATAGAACAATGAAAAATAGAAACGGCGCATTAAACAGACAAAGTTATCAAAGACTTTTTTGTTCTCACCCTTTTTTCTTACATGTCTGGAAAACATTTGAAATAAATACCTATTTTTTAGAATTATTATAATTAATATTAAAATATCAAAATGTGTTTTTTTTTTATTTCATGCACGGAAATTTATATATATATATATATATTAAGAAATGGACAAGGTCCGACAATTTATTTATTAAAGACATTTTATTATGTTTAACGTTGTTATTTTATAGATACAAGTATTTAAGCAAATGCTCTGTTTATGATAAACAGTATTAAATAACATTTACCGGCCTGAATGTCCGAGAAATTTTCATAGAAAATATTCGTTCTTTGACAGGATTCAAACCTGCATCCTATACGGAACCGTCATATACGCTTATCATAAACAGAGCATTTGCTTAAATACTTGTATCTATAAAATAACAACGTTAAACATAATAAAATGTCTTTAATAAATAAATTGTCGGACCTTGTCCATTTCTTAATATATGACGTCATTTGTTTACATTCGATACGCCAGAGCAGTTATGAATGTACGAGATTCATGGAAAATTGGAGTTTATAAGCAGTAAATTCGACCTTGTCTACCGAACGCTTCTTTGTAGCTTAACGGTAAGGCACGTCAGCGTATATGACGGTTCCGTATAGGATGCAGGTTCGAATCCTGTCAAAGAACGAATATTTTCTATGAAAATTTCTCGGACATTCAGGCCGGTAAATGTTATTTAATACTGTTTATCATAAACAGAGCATTTGCTTAAATACTTGTATCTATAAAATAACAACGTTAAACATAATAAAATGTCTTTAATAAATATATATATATATATATATATATAAATTCATGAATCATTCATACAAAAAACAAATATAGAGGTTAATGATTTAAATGGCGAGAATACATCTTCGCAAACAATATAAATAAGATACACCAACCCCAAACCTGTATATGAATGATATGATCCCTTCAAACTCAGCGTTGCGACCGCACGTTCCAAAACAATAACACATTTCTCATAGCATTTTTTCGGATTGCATCTCTATTTTCGTTGTCCTCTTATTACCGAGAAGTAAAAACAAGAACAAAATCTATTTCCATACCTGAGGATGTCTGTAGGAACAGACGAAACCTTGTAAAAAATTGAAAGACCTTATGCAACTGGAATTTATGAACAGGGATCATATCATTCATATACAGGTTTGGGGTTGGTGTATCTTATTTATATTGTTGCGAAGATGTATTCTCGCCATTTAAATCATTAACCTCTATATTTGTTTTTTGTATGAATGATTCATGAATTTATAAATTATAAAATAAAAAATAAATATAATAAAATTATAAAAAAAAAAAATAAATATAATAAAAATTTGCACCTTTAATTGAAATATATTAGTTAGTAAAGGAATCATTTTAGCATCTAAGTTATACTATTAGTATATTTTGTTATAGATTGTAATGAGCCCGACAAACATTGATGACCTAGAGTCGCCACTAAGATCTCTGACTGATGCTAAATAGGTCGAGTTTCGATCCTGGCTTAAAACAATCGGATATCTAGTCACATTGATGAGCTGTGATACAGCAAAACAGGATAGCGATGACTATATATACCAATGGATTTCTAAGAACTCATCATTATTATATTTGCTCTGTTCTTACATTGAGCTCTCTTCGGATTTATATCCTCTTTGGAATTATTCCTATTAATTATCAAATAATATTACATACATACATACATATATATGAGTAATGAAAATCTTGGTAATCCGTATGGATAATCCCAAGGAGGATGAAATCCTGAGATCTCAATGTTAAATCAGAGCGAATAATTTAATTTTAAGAAAACCAGACAACTTTAATGTTCCATGGTTATAATTTATTTCCA